GGCTCGCGCTCGCCCTCCGCCTCGCGCTCGCCCCGCGAGGGCGAAACGCTTTCTCCCGGCATGCAGCGCGAGGAGGGATTTAACACCAAGATGGCGGACGGCCCGGATGAGTACGATACCGAGGCGGGCTGCGTGCCCCTTCTCCATCCCGAGGTGAGGAGCTGCGCCGAGCGCCTTCCTCGCCCCGTGTTCCCGCGACCTTCCTCCCTCAGACTCGCGGAGGGCGCCGCCGTGTACGAGGAGCGTGCCGGAGCCGGGAGGGTCGGGGCGGCGGTCAGGCCCGAGGGCGGCAGCGGGCGGATAACGGGGGAGGAGATAGCGGGCGCGCCGGCCGGGGCGGGATCTGCACGGAGTCGGCGGGCTGCGCCTGGAGGACGGAGGTGGAGGGTTGGAGGGGGCTGCGGGCCTGCTCTCTCGTCGTGCTCGCTGGAGCAGAGGCGGCGGGGCCTCGCGTTGCTTTGCAACCGCAGCCTGGACCCCTAGGCTTGACCAGACCTCTTGGGACGGGAAAGGAGCGCGTCTGGTTCTCATTTCTTCTTTAGGGCCCCCAACGGTGCCCAGCTCTTCCGCTTAGCCCTCCGTGGGCGAGGGTAGGGTCAGAGGACATCCTTGGACGGAGTGACATCCCTCCAGGTTGTGTCACAACGCCGCACCTCGGGGCACCTTGTGTCGGATGCCCTCCTTGGAGCGTTTGCCCTTAAGCGATTATAAAGAGAGGTCAAATACTTTGGGGGAATTCTGGCCCCTCTCTCACACTAGCTTGCCAAGGTATTTAAAACGGTATACATATGTATATATAATATAGAGAGATAGATATTAAGGGATCAGGACGAAAATGCAACACGTTTCTCATCACAACTCGACTATCTCCCCATGTAAGTAAACGGTGCCCGTCGCCAGGACCAGTCCTGCTCTGTGCTTGTTTATCTCCGAGTTTGTAGCAGAGACCAGGGCTAGTTCAGGCCTGGAGCCAAGTCTGATTCTCAGTGGTCCACAGTGACATGCCGAAGAGCAGTGGCTACCGATTCCTGAGCGCTACGGTAGTTTTTATGAGGATGAAAGATAACATGGAAAAAACAACATGGAAGTGCCATGATTGGTTAGTCTTTAGAGTAATTCTGTTTGTTGCTGGATTTTAGTATGTGTCGAAATATTTCATGTAAAGAAAGGCAAACACTTATCCATTCTGCCTGTTAATACGCTGAAACATTTAATCATTTTGACATATCAAAAACAGATGAGACAATTCCTTTGAATTATACCTTGACTTGTACTTTTCCTGATGATTGAATTATTTAATTGTATGATATGTAGATCAAGTACCAATCAAACTTAAAAATTTTTAGAAAAAGGGGCTGCGATGTATTTATGACAAACAGAACTGTATTGTAATACCAAACTTTTATTTTTTGACCTAAGTAGTAATGTTATCTGAGCTGGTATGGGAGACATCTTTTGGTTCATACTTAAAACAGCAACCACCAGACCTGACTCGTGGCCATCCAGTTAGTTTCAACCCATTGACCCTCTAGGACAGAGTAGAAGCACCCATAGGGTTTGCCAGGCTACCACATCATTGCCCTGAGGACCAGCTTGTGGATTTGGACAACCTGAGATCTTTCCAAAGAGCTGTACTAGTCTGTAAAGCCCTGGGGCTGGAGGGCTTTAGCCTGCCTGGAGAAAGAGACAACTGCCCATACAATATGCCTGGAAAAGTTGCTGTGATGTACTTTTGTTCATCTGTTGCTGAGAAAGTGTTTCAATACTTCAGTGTTTCTACTGTGTGTTTTAACATTCTGTTCTTGAAAGTTTGCTTTGTTGCTTTTAGAGTCATTTTAACTTGTAACAAATCCATAGTGTAATGGAACGGCCACTGGGCTTGAAGTTGTGAGATCTCATTTTCAAGTTACCAGTTGAGAGACATTTCTAGGAAAATAAGAGCCCTAGTGGCTCAATAGTAAACCTTAGGTTGTTAATGAAAGTTCTACCCTGCAGTTCTACCCTACCAGCGGTGGTGCAATAGAAAAGACTTGGTGATCTACCCCTGTAAATATTAAAGACTAGAAAATGCTTTGGGGTTATTCTGTCTGCCAATAGGGTTGCTGTGAGTCAATCAATTCTGTGGCACCTAACAACAGTGAAAGTGGGAGCTGAAATAAGTGATAGCACTATTTCTTTTAACTCAAAACAAACCATCTGAAATACTTAGTACAGATCTAATAAATTGCTAATTTCTAGCTGTCTGCTTTTGGGCAAGCTAATTCTGAGTTCTAGCTTCTTTGTAAGAGCTTCACATCCTTTAGCTATCTAATCAGTTATGAGTCATCTGCACCGTATAGGACAGAGTAGAACTACCCTGTAGTATTTCAAAAGTTGAAATATTTACAGGAGCATATTGCTACATCTTTTTTCCCTGTAGAGAAGCCTGTGCTGTTGACCCTCTGACATTTCTGTTAGCAGCCAAGTAATAAAGGGTTTAACAGTTATAAAAACCAAACCCAAACAGTTGCCCATATAGTCAGTTTCTACTCATGGGAACCTATGTGTTCCATAGTAGAGCTACACGCCATAGTGTTCTCACTGCTATGATCTCTCGGAAACTGATCACCAGGCATTTCTTCTGAAGTGTTTCCAGGTGGGTTCAAACTATCATCCTTCCGATGGCTTCCACTGTACCAACAAATAACCATTTGATCTACCTAGGGAGCGCACGCACAATAGTACACTTATGTAATAAGCTGTTGCAAGGGTTAAATTAGAGTTTTTGGTTTTTTAATCAATGCTTTCAGTGCCCTTCCAGGTGGAGGGAGCATTCATTTTGTGATAAGCAAATGAAATAATTCCCTCCTTTTTAAGAGAGAACATAGAATTTGGGCCAAACATACTTGGGCTTCATTTCTGGATTTGCAGTAGTGATTTACATGACCAGAGGCAAATACCTAATCTCTTTAAGTCTCAATTTATTCACTCGAATATGGAGTTGTTGCCCAGTTTCCTGGGCACTAAGTGACTAGGAGAGATTGGTTGCTGAAGTTTGAGAATGGTAATTGTAGAAACATGCTATTTTCTTTCCCTCTATAAAGGAAGGAGGGATAAACAGGAACATGTTTTATCTTCTTCTCTTCATATTTAACCCTGTGATGGTCACTAAATATTTGGTGAATAGATGGATTATTTGTAGGAAAAAGAAATTAGCTATAGCCTTTAATATGCAAATTCTTCATTATTAGAATCTTAGTGGATTATGTTATTACCTGTTTCTTATAAGTATTTGCTAGAAGTGAGCCTTATTTTGGGACTAGTTAAATCATTTATATATTTAGCTATTGGTACACATGATTTGTTTGGCTTGGTTAGACCAGAGGAGCCCTTGTGGCACAGTAATTAAAGCACTTGATGACTCTCCAAATTATCTGTGGTTCCAACCCACCAGCTGCCCCTGTGATGGAGAAAGATGTAGCAGGCTCTTTCTGAAAATGTTACAGCTTGGGAACTCTGTGGGGTAATTCGACTTTGCTTTGTGAGGCCATTGTGAGTCAGAATCAGCTCTGGCATTGGGTTTGCTTTTGTGTTTTACATTGATCAGTTTCTGCACTGGGCTCTGTACAAAGCTCGATGACCTTTATGGTAAATCCATTGATAGGCAGTGTAGGATACAAGTTCTAAGGCAAGACTCAGGTGGCAGACTGGATTTGGTTTTAATCTATTTTCTGCCACTTACTGTCATCATTGTCATTTTCCTTATTTGTAAATTTGGATTAGTAATATCTACTACCTAGAGTCATTAGGTATTAATGCTGAAATGTTTATAAAGCAGTCATCAAGGACCTAAACACATAGAATGTCAAGGAAATTTAATGAGGGCCTTGACATACTGTACAAGCTGAAAGAGAAGCCATTCTTTCTTTCCTGATGAAATAGGCGATAACTCATTTTGTGTAATGGAAAAAAGGAGAGGTTGTTACATTGGAAAAACTGCAAATCTGAGTCCTAGGGTGTAGTCCCAGCTCTGAATTTGAGCTAGTGGTAATTTAACCACTTCCAGTTTCATTGATTTTGCATTAAGAGGCCAGAGTAGCTGTTCTTTAAGATTTCTGATGGTGTAGTGGGTACACATTGAGGGTACAACAGGGTAGCAGTCCAAAACCAACCCTGCTCCAAAGGAAAAAAAAAATGGTGCTTTCGACTCCTGAAAAGAGCTACAGTCTCAGAAACCCTCAAGGGCAGTTCTACTCTGTCCTGTAGGTCAGCTATGAATCAGAATTGACTTGATGGTGAGTTTGTTTGCTTTTTTTGAATGATCTGATAGCACGTTGTAATTTTTCAAGACCAGTCTTCTGATCATACACTCCTTGCCAAGCTCTGTGCCAGGTTATATAGGTGAAATACAGTAAATAGGACAGCTTTAGCTCCCTAAGAGATAAATGAACTAGTTGGAAAGCAATATATATATATATATATATATGCAACAAGAATCCAAATAAGTGCTGAAGTGAGTAGTGTAGCCTATCAGCTATGACAGATTCCTGCCATCTAGTATGGTTACAAGAAAAGTTTCAGTAAGAGGAACAGAGATCATATGTATGCATGTCTGTAGGTTCAGCAACTTGCTATCAGCAGTCATGTTTCATCCGTCAGTGCATCCTCAGTAAGCCACCTCAGCTCCTTGCTACACGAAGGCCACGGTACCCTCTTCTTCCACTCTTATAGGAGTTCTCTGTTCCGGAAAGCTCTGACTCAGAGCTTTGAACTGGATTGCCTAATTATCTAGGGCTTTCATCTGTCTTCCTTGCTTCCTTTTTTACTTAATTTCAGAACTTCTGCAAATGCTTTTATCTCTAGTTACTTACATTTCTTATGCTTAGATTATTAAACTAAAATATTACCAGGTCTATTTTCCTCATAGATTTCATAAAATCTACTTTCTGAAGCTTTTCCTTAGTGAAAGTGAGTGTGCCCTCTCATTATTTTGCCACATTTTGTATTTGGAGATATACATGTGCACATATATGTAAATTAACTTTTTTTTCCTCCCAGAAAGCAGATAGAGTTACTTTGAAAATTGTCATTTTTTTCTTTGAAAGATTGCCAGCATACTCTTTTCTTTCAGAACAATCTTTAGCAGTCTCTAGGAGCTGATACCGTTTTTTTAA